CTGTCTTCAGCGTATAACTGGTCGGAATACCTAAAAGGGGTTCTAGAACTAGCCCAGTGAAATAGGCCTCTTGTGGAGCCTTTGAAGAGTATAGGACCTTAGGTGGAATCCCAAGTCCCATCCAGAACCTTCTGAGGTAGGCCATCCCCACTAGAAAGGACAAGCAGACCAGCCTGGAACAGCTTGAGAGACAGAAGATACATCTTCAAAGAAAGATCATCAAGAAAAACCCAAAACAGAAATGTCAGTATGACTGGTTACTACAAGAATAAGCAAGCTATGCGCTGGGAAGCCATCAAGGCAAGCGATCAAGTTCCTTCAGGATAAACTCCCCTCTAAAACTGAAACTCAAAGGGAACACATGAGCAGGCATGTAAGCTTGCTGGCAACATTGGTCTACTGGTGAATGGAAGAAGGGGAAAGGAAGCAATGAAGAAATGGGCTGAGTTCAATCACGGTCCGTTGAATCCCATTGACCTGGAGATGAGAGAGAGAAGAGGAAGGGCTGGTTGGTCCACAGTGTGATGAGTCAGAACTGACTCCATAGAACCTAGCAACAATAATAGCATCTTTATAATTGCCTTTGGGAATGGAAACATACATAACCATCCCTGAGTGAACATCTGAGAAGGAACATCAGCAAGTTATATCAGCTCTTTAATGCTGCCTGAAGTACATAACATCACACTGATGAGAAGATGTGCAGGGGGCAGGGGAAAAACCCGAGAATGTCATCAGTCATGGACGACCTGTGCCCCCTGCTCTTGAGCTCATAATTCCAGCCACAACCTACTGTAGACCTCAGACTCCTATACAGACCCCTCTTTGGAATGTGACTCATTTTCAACTCCCTTTTGAACATGTACACTTAACACATTGTACAAGTACATATAAAACAACTCTTCATCTTATACCTAAAGCTCTTGTATCTTCCTACAGCTTCCTAGCTTCATAAGCCAATCCTGCGATGAAAAACATCCTAAAGGGAGTTCAATGGACTGAGAACAAACAAGAACGGACAACAACCAGAGACTGACCTACGTGGCATCATTACCCGGAACTCAATCAACAAATTGAAGAGTGGAGAACAGAATAAAACTATAACAAATTCAGAGGATCTGGGAGGTCAGTCTATGATCAACTACAACGTGAACGAAGGTAAGCAAAAGACCCAGGTTGTGAGAAGGTCATTTAGGGACAATTCCTGGCTACCTGGCTATCAGTAAGTGGCTCTCTGTACTGTGAGGGCTAATCCATCCCAGCAGTCTTGGAAACCACCCAAGTTGTCCTACACTACTGAAATAAAGACATGCCTACAATGGAGGGAATTACAATCACTGCAATGAAATGAAGTATGTGATTTGCTAAATGTAAAACTGATGATCTGCTCTGTAATTATTCATTCAATTCACAACAACAACAAAAAATATATCTACTATATGGACTCCTGGTGTGGCGCTGTGGGTTATTGCACCAGACTGTACAACCGTTTGAACTGCAAGGTCGGCAGTTGAAGCTTACCAGCTGCTCCTCAGAATCCCTATACAGGGTCATTATGGGTCAAGCCAACTCGATGGCACTTAACAACAACATCTATCTAGCTATCTATCTGTCTGTCTATAACCTATTGTTGTTGTTACGTGCCGTGGAGTCAGTTCCAACTCATAGTGACCCTGTACAGGGTTTCCGAGGCTGTAAATTTTATGGGAGTAGAAGCCTCATCTTTCTCCCACGGAACAGCTGGTAGTTTCAAACTGCTGACCTTGTGGTTCGCAGCCCGATTCATAACCACTACGCTACCAGAGTTTTACAACACTAATTCCTGGGCCAGGCACAAATAGACGGATTAATAATGCCATTCAGTGTATGTGTAACCAGGGGGCTGAGGAGTTTTATACCAGGTCTTGGTAAGACCCTGGAGGGCTCTGTTGTTGAGGTTAGTCATGTAGCAGGAATATGCCTATGTGACCAGCAAAATGTCAAAAACAGCAAAACCCCATTTGGGCTTCCTGGCTCCTTCCATGTACATGCACTGATGGTTCCTGACTCGAGTCAGGCCCTTACAGAGGGAGGAAGCAGGAACGTACACCTAGCCCCATCACAGCCCTGGGTGGGAAGCAGAGTTTGGGTAGGCTGCCCTCCTTACTTCAATGCTGCTGCTATAGTGCATCCTCTTCCTGCAGTAAACTGTAGAAGGTAAGCACGCAGGGCCTGTGAGTCTTCATGGGCAATGGAAGGAATCGTTTTTAACTGTCACTGTTAGGACTGCAGTGTCGTTAGAAAAGATTCCAGGGTTGGAACAGAGGGCTGCTTGGCATGATGGGAAAAGTTGAGGATTTCAAATTAGATAAAACTGATGCTCACTAGGTATTCAATCATAAAAACCTCTGATTCTCAGTTTCCTCACCTAAAAAACTGGGTTGATAGCTATCCCCTCGCAGGGCCCCTGTGAGGACTGACTAGAATAACATATGTTTGGCTAACCATTGTTGTTATAAAATGCCGTCAAGTTAATTCTGACTCATAGCAATCCTGTTTAGGGTTTCCGAGGAGGGGCTGGTGGGTTTGAGGGTTAGTGCATTATTTTGGAGCACCAGGGCTCCAGCTAAACATTAGACCTACTTAATAAAGATGAAGAACAAGATAATAAATACTGGAACTCTTCTTGATGCACACAGCAGGAAGAACAAGGAGCTTCAAAGACTAGGTCTTCATAAAAAAATTGTTTAAAGGCAGTATTAGAAATGGCTGAATGAAGCCCTAAAACTATTGCCCTGAGATAATCTGCAAAACTTAAACCAAAAATATCCCCTGAAACCTTAGAATTGAACAATCGTTTAAGCTGAACTAATGAAAATTGTCTGCCTTAAGCTTGAACTGTCTCTATGGGCTCAAACTGACAACAGCAACTCAAAAGTCGAGGGCAGTGAGTGTGCTAATGGTGAGGGACGGCTCACAAAGGGAGAGAACAGTTGTACAGCTCCAAGAATGTCATCATGTCACTCGATTATACAGGTTGAAACTGTTGAATTGGTGTGTATTTTGCTATGGATATCCTTAACATGGATATTGAAACTGTGGAATTGGTGTGTATTTTGCTCTGGTAGTGCAGTGGTTACGAATCAGGCTGCTAACCTCAGGGTCAGCAGTTCGAAACTACCAGCTGTTCCACGAGAGAAAGATGAGGCTTTCTGCTCCGGTAAAGATTTACAGCCTCAGAAACCCTTCACAGGGTCTCCGTGAGTCGGAACTGACTCCACAGCACATAACTACCACCACCATCCTTAACAACATAAAAACTGGAAAAAATAAAAATACAACTCTACGTGCACAGGCTCCTTTGCATAAAACCTTTAAAAGAAAAAAAATGCAATGACGAAGAAACAGTAAGAACAGTGAATCTCTGAAATAATTACCTGGAGAGGGGCTGTCTGGCCAGAAACAGAACTTCTCATGAGCCGTACACAAAGCTTTCTTCAGTTCAGCACATCGCTCCTGATCTGAAACCCACAGAAAGTCAAAACGCCTTAAAACACATTAGGCTCAGATGCAAAATCCAATGGCCAAGAGAGCTCTGAAGAGTACAGATACAACTAAGGGAATTTAAAAAACATACGAAAATATTATCAACTACGTCATCATCACATTTTCCACCATAGAAGGTCTAATTTGAAATCCTAAGATCAACGGAAAAGACAGCCTATGTAGCAGTCTTGTAAGGGAAGGCATTCCAAAGTGTGAACCTTCACAAAATTACTTTGTCTCTCTGCATAAGAGTATTCATTCTGAAGCCATAAGCATAATGCCTGATTAGTTAGCCAGAATACAAAAAATCCTTTCTAAAGTATAAGTTTAGCTAAAAAAGAAAAAAAAAGCTAGCAACTGAAGTTAATTACTAGCGTTGAGGACAATCACAGACTCTCCTTGTTATCTACAGCAGTACACACACACATTCTTTGATCAAACAAAAGTGACTGGTCTTTTACCAAAGAACTAGTATAATATAATAGCATCAAAGACAAAAAACCTACTCTTTGACAATAAAAGTGTGCTCTGGACTTTATACTTACATCTGTCGAAGTCAACAGCTAGCTGTAAACTGGCACACAGAAAGGCCTGACAGCTGGAACACTTGAGCATATCACATTCAACCGTGACCCAGCCGTACTTGGCACAGACAAGTGGAGACAGCTCAGGGGGCTTACCTGCCCACTTCAAAGAGTGTGCACGTTAAGACAGACAACATTGTAAGTACGTTACAATGAATCAATCAGAAAGTATAACACTTGTTCTGCGAGTATACAGGAATAAACAGATTATGAGGAAAGCAATCATAAAGTGGTAAGCATAGACACATACTTTATAGAATGATGGCCATTTGAGTAATATGTAGAGAGACAAAGTTACCAGCTTTTTCTCAAGGAAGCCCTATATATTTCATGTTTACAATACTTACCATTGATTGTAGGACAGACTATAGCAGCTACTCACAGTCACTTCATATGAAATACTAAGATTCCGATGCACCAGTGAAGCACAGGATTAAGTCTAAGTAATGAATGGATGGCAAAGTTAGAGCAACCAGAAACAGTTCCTGCCGCTCATCAAGTGTTCTGTTGTACAGCATCCAATTTTACCTTCCAAAGGGATAAACCCCATCTTGTTTGGGTACAAGAGTCTCAGGATATAATCCTGGTTCTGCTACTGGCTACTAGGTTGATCTTGGGCAATCCACATAAGCTATCTAAAACTGCTATCTTTTCTATAAAATGAGAATAATACTAATACCAATTTTCATACATTTAAAGGTTTAAGTTAAAATGTCTTAGGCTTTGTTTGTCGTTCTGTAAGAAGAAAAGTTTAGATAGTCTCATATGTTCCCTTGAGGGATAACATTTTATGATGCTGATTTTACTATATAATTTCTTACTAAGTTTTGATTTTGAAGTTTAAAGCATAAGAGTAAGCATATAATATCCCAGAGGAATACCATCCAGGAGCAGGAAGACAGCTCAACTTTTAAAAAGTAAAAAAAGAATATGGAACTCAAAACGACTATAAATAAATTACAATACAATTTTAAAAAGGATATGGAAAATGTCTCCACTCTGCTAAAGAAGGCTTCCTTGCTTGTAGATTCCAATGGATGCTGTTCCGCTTGTGGTGATCCATTAACTGTCTGGAATGTGGCAGATGTATCTTTCCTAAAGTAAAGTGGAAGAACTTTTAGCAAACCTTTTAGAGGCCTACTCTGCCTAAACATTTCTATCTAGTTTCTCTCCACCCCAACACTTAACTTTATCCCTCCT